ACGAAGCTGCTGAGGCGGAGGGATGTCCCGCGAGCGCTGCTGCTGCTGTCGCTGCGAGCGCTGGCCACCACCACCGCCGCTACGCTGCTAGGTACCACCCCGACCAGCTCCACCTCCTCCACCACCACCGCCACCTCCGCTGCCGCCTCCACCGCCTCCACCTCCGCCGCCTCCACCTCCGCCGCTGCCTCCACCACCACCGCTGGCACCACCACCACCGTCTCCGCCGCTGCTGCCACCACCACCACCACCCCCGCCACTAGTCCCGCCGCCACCCCCACTCCCTCCGCCACCACCGCCGCCACCGCCACCGCCCCCTCCAGCTCCACCCGCGCCCTTGCCCCCCTTGCCCTTGCTGGAGCGACGTCTCCCACTAGGGGCAGACGCCGCGCCGACCGACTCAAGACCAAGCAGGTCGGCAGCAGCAGCAGAGGCAACAGAGGGCAGCAAGGGGGAAGGAGAGCACCCCTCAAAGATGGGGGTGCGAGGGTCACCACGAGAAGCACCTACAGCGACTATGCTCTTCTCCGCTGCGAGGAGGGCCTTCTCGAGGAGGTCGACGGTGAGGGTGGTGGGACAGACTGCGAGAAAGTGGTCCCTGACGACGCGAAGGGAGTCAGGGAGGCGCGCGACTACGTAGTAGAGAGCGATGTACATGGGGGGGGGGGTTCTTAGCGCAGAACTCAGCAGGAAGGGCGGCGCGGTAGCGAGTGTCACTAGTGCGGAGGTGTGTAATGAGGTCAGCGACAGTGGGAAAGGCAGAGAGGTCAGGAAAGAGGTAGGGAAGCATGAGACGGCTCAGTGCAGCAGTGGCAGGGGAGGAGTAGCGCGCAACTACAGCGTCGTACAAGGTCTGAGCACTCTTGTACTGACTAAAGTGCGCGCGCTCAGAGGTAGGGAGGTGGCGACGCACAGCAAGACGTGCAGCAGCATCGCGGGTGGCCCACTGAGAGCGCACAGTGGGATCAGCATCAGCAGCAGGAGCAGGAGAGGCGCCAGAGGTAAGGTCAAAGAGAGAGAGGCCGTCTGCCCTATCGCACTGTAAAAACAACTGCAGGTCGTCTACCCAGACCTCAAAGTCAATGGCTCGACCCTCAGCGTCAAAAGCTAGGACACTAGGGGTAGCCATGACGACGACAGCGAAGCAGTGCAAGCAGTAGGGGAAGAGCACGCAGTGACAGTGCGACTGTGCTCACTAGGCAGGGCAGGCCGGGCAACTCTGCAGAAGGGCGGCTCGGTGACTCAGCGACTCGGCTGCTGGGCGGCTCGGCTCCCGCGCGGCTCGGCGGCAGGGCGGCTCGGGTGCAGGGCGGCTCGGCTCCCGGGCGGCTCGGCGGCAGGGCGGCTCGGGTGCAGGGCGGCTCGGCTCCCGGGCGGCTCGGCGGCAGGGCGGCTCGGGTGCAGGACGGGGCCGGGACAGGGGACGGCGGGGCCGTCAGGGTGCAGCGGCGGGGCCGACTGGTGCAGAGGTGGGGCCGTCAGGGTGCAGCGGCGGGGCCGTGACAGGGGACGGCGGGGCCGTCAGGGTGCAGCGGCGGGGCCGGCAGGGTGCAGCGGCGGGGCCGGGACAGGGGACGGCGGGGCCGTCAGGGTGCAGCGGCGGGGCCGACTGGTGCAGTGGCGGGGCCGTCAGGGTGCAGCGGCGGGGCCGTGACAGGGGACGGCGGGGCCGTGACAGGGGACGGCGGGGCCGTCAGGGTGCAGCGGCGGGGCCGACAGAGGTGCAGCGGCGGGGCCGGCAGGATGCAGCGGCGGGGCCGGGACAGGGGACGGCGGGGCCGTCAGGGTGCAGCGGCGGGGCCGACAGGTGCAGTGGCGGGGCCGTCAGGTTGCAACGGCGGGGCCGAGAGTAGGGGACGGCGGGGCCGTCAAAAGAGGACGGCGGGGCCGTCAGGTGACGGGGCCCGCTGCAGCGACGAAGAGGCCGCGCGGCCGGCGTGAGGGCGGCGGGGCGCAGCAGAGCCGAGAGGGCGGCGCGGCGCGGCCGTAAGGCCAGCGCGACGTGGGGCCCGGGCCGCGCGCGCGAAAAAAAAGGAGTCGCGCGCGCGACTCGCGGGGCGCCACAAGGGCAGCGCGACAAGCACTAGGGGGGGAGCGCGCCTCGGGGAGAATAGGGCGCGCTCCGGGCAGGAAAAAAAATTTCGTGGGTGGGCCCTTAAAAAAAACGGTCCTTAGGAAGGACCCGCTCTATACCATGTGAGAATAAACGAACAGGAATGAAATGACTAAGTCAGAGTTGGGTACAAATACAACCCTAGAAAGCTGTACCCCATATGTGCTACCCCACTATAGCCTACAAACATGCATCAGCTATGATAATCTGACAAGTTCATGAAGATCCTCTACCCGAACGTCAAGTGGAGTGGGAGTCAGAGATGGTCGGAGCGGTTTCGGAAGCGGTGGAATTTGAGTGTACGCATGAAGACTCGGGTTGCTCAGAAAACAGCCGCTCGTAAGATTACGCCCCTTGCTTTTACCGGTAAGTCTAAGTTTCTGCCTCCCTTACAAATATGCCCTCTATCCCGCCCGCCTTTTCCCCCGTCTAACAGATGTTGTGCAGCAGTGCCAGAACCTCTGGCGTTTTGTCCGAGACATGCGTCGCGCGCGCGGCATCGAGACTACCTGGATCCTCAACGCTGACCAGACGCCGCTCTGGCTGGAGATGCCCGCCACCACGACGGTGGATCAGACGGGCGTACGGTCGGTGCCCATCCGGAGTGAAGGTTACCAGAAGGAGCGTGTGACCGTGATGCTGGCGTGCACGGCGGACGGGGCGAAGCTCAAACCGTGGGTGTTTTTCAAGCGGAAGACGCTGCCGAAGGGCAACTTTCCTCGGGGTAATAAGCAGCAGCTGCCGCTGTTTTACCATATGTTTTTGTTTATCATGCTGCGCTAACAGTTTAAGTGCCATTTGTGAGTGCAGATGTGGTCGTGGCTTGCCACGAGAACGGGTGGGTGAATGTAGAAGGCGTCATCCGCTGGCTTGAGGAGGAAGTCAAGCCCTTCTTGAAGCCCCGGTTTGGCAGGTGTGCGAAGATCTCCATGCTCGTGCTGGATTCCTACCGTGGCCACCTTACCGATGGGGTGAAGGAGAAGCTCCGCGAGATCAACTGCGTGCCTGCAGTCATCCCGTCGGGCTGTACGGCTGAGGTTCAACCGCTCGACGTCTCCATCAACAAGAGCTTCAAAGCTTCTGTTCGTCAGCAGTACCAGAAGTGGTTTGAGGAGGAGGGCCAAGAGCAGCTGACAGCAGCAGGTACGTTGTTTCAGTTATTCACGCATGCTTAATCCCCCCCTCACCCTTGGATGCTGACACGGCTTTCTCGGGTGTCTCTATTGTGGTGCAGGGAATCTCAAAAAGGCCCCCTCAGAAGTGGTCCTTCGATGGATTTCACGGGCCTGGAAAGCAGTCCCCTCCGACCTCATCAAGCGCGCCTTTCTCACCTGCGGCATTAGCAACGCCCTTGACGGCAGTGAGGACCACCTCGCCATGGCGCACAGGCGGAGCCAACTGACGGCGGAAGTGGATGTAGACGACAGCATCGTCGCCGACGGCTTCTTTGGCAACAACTGCCAGGAGGCCGAGTCTGACGAGGAGTAGTTCTGGTAGCAACTAGGTAGAATAGCGGATCAAGTGGAAAGTTGTGTACCAAACTGTAGTGTTTGTTGAAGCGAACGATGTTGTAGTTGTTTGCTTTTGTTGTGGTGATAAAAATAGTTTTTTAATATGAGGGTGGCGCATATAATAAAAAAGGGTACAAAAGGGGGGGCGCTTATAATCGAGGAATGACCATAAGCACCATGCTCCATATAGAAGCGCCGGCGCCTGTAATAGGCCGGCGCCAATATCCGGGGCCATACGGTACCCCTTAGAGTACATAGCTAGTCTATGTCTTTTCGCATTCCCCTTGTATTCTTATATAAACCCGATGTATGCATGCTATTATCATCTCAATCATTTACATTCACTCTAACCTGAGTTCAGTACTTCCGCTGCGACACAACCTGCGATCAACCCTGAGCGATCCTTCGCTAAGTTCCACTTCGGATTGTAACATAACATTCTTAATTGGTTTCACGTTTTGAGAGACGTTATTCAAGAGTGTTATTGGTCAAATTTTGGGGCATTCACTTGAAGCGTGTACCCGGAAAAAATGCTTTGAGAAACACTTTTGAATGATATCTCCAAATGTGAAACCTGTTTTAGGTCATCTCTCCAGCAAGTGTCAAGAGGGGCTAGTGTCATGACACCAACTCGAAAACACATGGAGGACTATCCCTCCTGGTGTCAGCTGAACCAACCAATGAGATCGCGGGAAATCGTCCAATGTGCCCAACATTGACACCAGGCTGGAGCCGCGCTCACACGCGGCTCCACTTGGTGTCAACCGTAAACAACGCTTGACACCAAGCCTTTCTTGACACTTGCTGGAGAGACGACCTTATACGGTTGCTACGCAACCCAAAAATAAGACTGAAATCGAGACGAACAGACGAATGTCGTCTGCTACAGTAACGAGAGCCCTGATCTGCTTATCATGGATATTTTTGTGCTGCCAAACGAACCGAGCCAAGACTGGGAGAAGCAAGGGCGGGAGGCGGTTTCGCCAGCGCCAAACCACACAGAACCACACTACTGATATTGTACGCTGAGGGGGAGTCCAACTTGTACGTTTACAGGCTATCGTCGTGGTTCAAGGCGTTTCAACACGTTTTTAAACGGTATTTGCACTTGACCGTTCTGCACCTCGACAAAAAACATTCGAGCTCGACACTCTCTGATAGGTTTCCAGCGCAGCATCCAAAGTTTGGGATGGCGGGATCGGGATGGGATGGGATCTGTGGAATGAAATTCAGCGGTGCAAGGAAACTGGGAGTGTTGAGACTGCTGCCAATAAAAGTCTGGGTACCGAAGCTACCGAATGCAGCTTGATGCGTAGCTAAACACTTCGATATCGATATTCTCTGAGCTCCTGTGTGGTTAACGCAGCAGATTTGCGATGGCAGGGATGGCTCCATCAGTCCGCGAGAGCATGAAGCTCGCGACGTGGTCCAGAACCGCGCCTTACGTCGTCCTCGCGGCGTCCGCCGTGCTCTTCGCCGCCGCCGTCACCATCCGCTTCACCAATCCAGACTTGGGTAAGCTGCCGCCGCTTCCCCGCTCCTTACGCGCCCACCATTCAAGTCCTAGATCTCACCTTGCTGAGAGGCAGCCCATCCGCCCACATTACTACCCGTCCATGTTGCGAGCCTCCAGCGAGAACGTCACAGTGGTAGCTAACCGAATTGCGCCATGCCGCACTGCCTCAGATCTTCTTGCTGCGCGCTCGCTTCAAGCCGCGCGTCGACTGCCGCGTTACCGTGTCGCAACATTTCGTGACCGGGCGCACCATTCCCGATCTGTTCGAGGGCGAAGCGTTGTTCCTCCTTCCTATTCTCACATTCCTCTTCTGCTCCCTCCCTCCCACCCCACCGCCGTGGCAACCGACCGGTGCAGCGAGCTGCACGCCAGAGGACTTGGGCGCGGGGCAGAAGGCCAGTGGCGCGCAAGGCAGCGATGAGGCATCGCGGTTCCTGATCAGCAACTTCGGGCTGCCCGGGCCCGTGCCGTGGGAGTGGATCCGCAAGAGTGTTCAAGATCAGTTCACTCTGGACGGCCGCGTGCAGGTGCGACCATCACATCATTCCCTCGTGCCCGGCAGGGGGAAAGAAGAGGGCACGGACACACGGTTGGGTCGGGGGGAAAAAAAGCGGAGGGAAAGTGAGGGCAGTGAGGGAGGGAGAGAGGAAAGACGGGGTGCGGAACCCAGAGCAGATCCGTGCGCGCGTTGACCAGCCATTGCGCCCTAACTAGCGCATGACATGCAGAATGCACCATGACGAAGCAATAAGCACACGGCATAGCACCACTGTGGCATCACCCCTTCCCCGGCCCCTGGCAGGTGAAGAACCGGTTTGTGGATGCGGACGCAAAGGACTCGGGGGCCAAGCCATATGTGTGGTCCACCGATGGCATCGACCAACAGGCCGCCATGGCCCGCCGCCGCGACACCGGTTTTGGATCGTACGGGCCGAACGTGACGGCTTCATTCTACTCGGCGTTTGAGAAGTACCCGCTGGCTGGGAAAAACGTGCTGATCGTGGGCAGCCAGTGGCCGTGGGTGGAGGCGATCTGCCTGGGGTTCGATGCGCACGCCATCACGACGGTGGACTTCAACCGCCCCGTGGTGTCGCACCCTCGGCTGCGGCAGCTGGTGGTGGGCGAGCTGGAGGGCAGCAGCGAGACGTGGGACGCCGCCGTGTCCTTCTCCTCGCTCGAGCATGACGGGCTCGGCCGCTACGGCGACCCCATCAACCCCAACGGCGACCTCGAACGCATGAAGAAGGTGAGCGCATGAAGAAGGTGAGCGCATGAAGAAGGTGAGCGCATGAAGAAGGTGAGCGCATGAAGAAGGTGAGCGCATGAAGAAGGTGAGCGCATGAAGAAGGTGAACGCATGAAGAAGGTGAGCGCATGAAGAAGGTGAGCTCATGAAGAAGGTGAGCGCATGAAGAAGGTGAGCGCATGAAGAAGGTGAGCGCATGAAGAAGGTGAACGCATGAAGAAGGTGAGCGCATGAAGAAGGTGAGCGCATGAAGAAGGTGAACGCATGAAGAAGGTGAGCGCATGAAGAAGGTGAGCGCATGAAGAAGGTGAGCGCATGAAGAAGGTGAGCGCATGAAGAAGGTGAGCGCATGAAGAAGGTGAGCGCATGAAGAAGGTGAGCGCATGAAGAAGGTGAACGCATGAAGAAGGTGAGCGCATGAAGAAGGTGAGCGCATGAAGAAGGTGAGCGCATGAAGAAGGTGAGCGCATGAAGAAGGTGAGCGCATGAAGAAGGTGAGCGCATGAAGAAGGTGAGCGCATGAAGAAGGTGAGCGCATGAAGAAGGTGAGCGCATGAAGAAGGTGAGCGCATGAAGAAGGTGAACGCATGAAGAAGGTGAGCGCATGAAGAAGGTGAGCGCATGAAGAAGGTGAACGCATGAAGAAGGTGAGCGCATGAAGAAGGTGAGCGCATGAAGAAGGTGAGCGCATGAAGAAGGTGAGCGCATGAAGAAGGTGAGCGCATGAAGAAGGTGAGCGCATGAAGAAGGTGAACGCATGAAGAAGGTGAGCGCATGAAGAAGGTGGACGCATGAAGAAGGTGAGCGCATGAAGAAGGTGAGCGCATGAAGAAGGTGAGCGCATGAAGAAGGTGAGCGCATGAAGAAGGTGAGCGCATGAAGACGGTGAGCGCATGAAGAAGGTGAGCGCATGAAGAAGGTGAACGCATGAAGAAGGTGAGCGCATGAAGAAGGTGAGCGCATGAAGAAGGTGAGCGCATGAAGAAGGTGAGCGCATGAAGAAGGTGAGCGCATGAAGAAGGTGAGTGCATGAAGAAGGTGAGCGCATGAAGAAGGTGAGCGCATGAAGAAGGTGAACGCATGAAGAAGGTGAGCGCATGAAGAAGGTGAGCGCATGAAGAAGGTGAGCGCATGAAGAAGGTGAGCGCATGAAGAAGGTGAGCGCATGAAGAAGGTGAACGCATGAAGAAGGTGAGCGCATGAAGAAGGTGAGCGCATGAAGAAGGTGAGCGCATGAAGAAGGTGAGCGCATGAAGAAGGTGAGCGCATGAAGACGGTGAGCGCATGAAGAAGGTGAGCGCATGAAGAAGGTGAGCGCATGAAGAAGGTGAACGCATGAAGAAGGTGAACGCATGAAGAAGGTGAACGCATGAAGAAGGTGAACGCATGAAGACGGTGAACGCATGAAGAAGGTGAGCGCATGAAGAAGGTGAGCGCATGAAGAAGGTGAGCGCATGAAGAAGGTGAGCGCATGAAGAAGGTGAACGCATGAAGAAGGTGAGCGCATGAAGAAGGTGAGCGCATGAAGAAGGTTAGCGCATGAAGAAGGTGAACGCATGAAGAAGGTGAACGCATGAAGAAGGTGAGCGCATGGAGAAGGTGAGCGCATGAAGAAGGTGAGCGCAGAAGAAGGTGAGCGCATGAAGAAGGTGAGCGCATGAAGAAGGTGAGCGCATGAAGAAGGTGAGCGCATGAAGAAGGTGAGCGCATGAAGAAGGTGAGCGCATGAAGAAGGTGAGCGCATGAAGAAGGTGAGCGCATGAAGAAGGTGAGCGCATGAAGAAGGTGAGCGCATGAAGAAGGTGAGCGCATGAAGAAGGTGAGCGCATGAAGAAGGTGAACGCATGAAGAAGGCGAGCGCATGAAGAAGGTGAGCGCATGAAGAAGGTGAGCGCATGAAGAAGGTGAGCGCATGAAGAAGGTGAGCGCATGAAGAAGGTGAGCGCATGAAGAAGGTGAACGCATGAAGAAGGTGAGCGCATGAAGAAGGTGAGCGCATGAAGAAGGTGAGCGCATGAAGAAGGTGAGCGCATGAAGAAGGTGAGCGCATGAAGAAGGTGAGCGCATGAAGAAGGTGAGCGCATGAAGAAGGTGAGCGCATGAAGAAGGTGAGCGCATGAAGAAGGTGAACGCATGAAGAAGGTGAGCGCATGAAGAAGGTGAGCGCATGAAGAAGGTGAGCGCATGAAGAAGGTGAGCGCATGAAGAAGGTGAGCGCATGAAGAAGGTGAGCGCATGAAGAAGGTGAGCGCATGAAGAAGGTGAGCGCATGAAGAAGGTGAACGCATGAAGAAGGTGAGCGCATGAAGAAGGTGAGCGCATGAAGAAGGTGAGCGCATGAAGAAGGTGAGCGCATGAAGAAGGTGAGCGCATGAAGAAGGTGAGTGCATGAAGAAGGTGAGCGCATGAAGAAGGTGAGCGCATGAAGAAGGTGAACGCATGAAGAAGGTGAGCGCATGAAGAAGGTGAGCGCATGAAGAAGGTGAGCGCATGAAGAAGGTGAACGCATGAAGAAGGTGAGCGCATGAAGAAGGTGAACGCATGAAGAAGGTGAGCGCATGAAGAAGGTGAGCGCATGAAGAAGGTGAGCGCATGAAGAAGGTGAGCGCATGAAGGAGGTGAGCGCATGAAGACGGTGAGCGCATGAAGAAGGTGAGCGCATGAAGAAGGTGAACGCATGAAGAAGGTGAACGCATGAAGAAGGTGAACGCATGAAGAAGGTGAACGCATGAAGAAGGTGAACGCATGAAGAAGGTGAACGCATGAAGACGGTGAGCGCATGAAGAAGGTGAGCGCATGAAGAAGGTGAGCGCATGAAGAAGGTGAGCGCATGAAGAAGGTGAACGCATGAAGAAGGTGAGCGCATGAAGAAGGTGAGCGCATGAAGAAGGTGAGCGCATGAAGAAGGTGAGCGCATGAAGACGGTGAGCGCATGAAGAAGGTGAGCGCATGAAGAAGGTGAACGCATGAAGAAGGTGAACGCATGAAGAAGGTGAACGCATGAAGAAGGTGAACGCATGAAGAAGGTGAACGCATGAAGAAGGTGAGCGCATGAAGAAGGTGAACGCATGAAGAAGGTGAACGCATGAAGAAGGTGAACGCATGAAGAAGGTGAACGCATGAAGAAGGTGAACGCATGAAGACGGTGAACGCATGAAGAAGGTGAGCGCATGAAGAAGGTGAGCGCATGAAGAAGGTGAGCGCATGAAGAAGGTGAGCGCATGAAGACGGTGAGCGCATGAAGAAGGTGAGCGCATGAAGAAGGTGAGCGCATGAAGACGGTGAGCGCATGAAGAAGGTGAGCGCATGAAGAAGGTGAGCGCATGAAGAAGGTGAGCGCATGAAGAAGGTGAGCGCATGAAGAAGGTGAGCGCATGAAGAAGGTGAACGCATGAAGAAGGTGAACGCATGAAGACGGTGAGCGCATGAAGACGGTGAGCGCATGAAGAAGGTGAGTGCATGAAGAAGGTGAGCGCATGAAGAAGGTGAGCGCATGAAGAAGGTGAGCGCATGAAGAAGGTGAGCGCATGAAGAAGGTGAGCGCATGAAGAAGGTGAGCGCATGAAGAAGGTGAGCGCATGAAGAAGGTGAGCGCATGAAGAAGGTGAGCGCATGAAGAAGGTGAGCGCATGAAGAAGGTGAGCGCATGAAGAAGGTGGCCGAGGCCAGCACGATGTGGGCTGGGGCAGCACGAGGTGGGCTGTATTGGTTTGTTTGGTACATCTGTGCAGCAAGGAGGACAGGGTATCAGACGTGTCAAATGTTTGCGCCCCCCCATTGCAACCCCCCATTTCCGCCTCCATTCCCTTCCCTTGTGGGTGGTTCACACCATGCACACCCTTGTCCCACACCACCCCTGCCTTCCACAACAGATCAAGGGGCTGCTAAAGCCAGGAGGGCTGCTGTTCCTGGGCGTGCCCACAGGCAACGACACGCTGCTGTTCAACACCCACCGCATATACGGGCCCATCCGCATGCCGCTGCTCATCGCAGGCTGGCGCATGCTCGACGTTTTTGGGGTCGACAGCCTAGAAAAGCTGTACCAAATTGATTTCAAAGGGATCGACGTTGTTCAGCCGCTCCTTGTGCTCCGTCGTGATTAGTAGGTCCAACACTGCCACCCCAACTGTGTCGATTTGATGGGGACTGTACCCTTGTGACCAGGCCTTAGATTCGTTTTGGACCAGGCTGATCCATTACAAAAAAAAAGCGCTGAAGATAAGCGCTACTTAGGGAAAAGAACGCTGAAAATTCAGCGCTCGTAACGCTTATTGTGTTTGGTGTTCATTTGTTATGTTTTGTTTTTTCTTCTTCTTTTGCAGAAGTACAGATTACAGATTCCAAGTGTAACATTTGTGAAAATTAGGTAAAACGGAAATTGTGGGATTGTTAGAATCATGTTGAGAAGAAGTGTAGATTCGGTTGGGGAAGGGGGTAGAAGTGAGAATGACGAGGTGAATGTTATACCCCATAAGGATCCCTATCTAGCAGAGAAAATATGTGACACATGTTTTGACACACCCCCATAGGCGAAATTGGAGGGGATGGCCAGAGCAAACAATGGTCACAAGACCAGCCAAGAGAAACAAGTAACGCAAAGCTCAGGGTGGATCTCAAGATTGTTGGGCTGAGAAAGCCCTTAAGGATCTTTGCAGAGGATAACTCTGGGAAGGATATTTGTAATAGCGGAAGCGTTTAATGAAGCTTGTGAACCGACCTTGCACTAGTGTGTGAGAGCAAAGTAGATTGATTAAAACAAGCAAATACAAGGCTTTATATAAGAGTACAAGGAATACGAATAGATATAATAACTGTATTGTTGTTGCGATTCGATACAGTGCGACTCGGGCAACTGCTCTGTAACGAGTCAGTTGTGTGTCCTTAACTGTCGCGCTGTAATTGTCGAGTCAAAGGTCGCTGACCTTTGACTTTCCCGTAACCTCCAGGCGGTTACCCTAACCTCCGAGGTTTGACTCGATGCTTCGATTCGGACTGCTTCGC